TAACACTAACAATAGGCCCCAGAAGATCAACACTAGAAGTTTGGAGGAAACGGCAACCGAACTGGCTAGGGAGACCCTCTAGATGGGCGCCACTAGAAACCACTAATGAAGAGGAGCAAGAAACCAAATGGTGGGAAATTTTAAGGTCTAAGGGATATCACAGAGTGGGGGACTTGTTTAGAGAGAAAACTCTTATTACAAGAAGTAATAGAAGAGATAGGCAAGGAACATTGGTTAAAAATAGCAGGTCTCTATAAGGCGGTAAAGAAGATTAACGAAAAAAAAGAAATATGGATAGACAAACCAATAGAATAAATATATAAAGAAATGATTAAGAAGAAACAAGGTCTAGTAGGGAAAATTTACAAAAAGATGATATTAAATAAAGATAAAATAACAGAATATTTACAAAAAGTGTGGAGTAGAGAAGGACAGATAACAGAGAGGATGGCAGAAAAAATATGAAAGGAATAGACGAAATCAAGGTAATTAAATTTAAAGAACTTGAATATAAATTTCTCACAAAATGGTACAAGACACCAGCCCAATTGGCTAACATGATTCCAGAATAACTTTTTTCCCACCATAGAGAACAATGGAGGGGATGGGGCAATCTGTTTGGGGGCCCGTAGAATTGGACCCCCTGGTTCAATGTTCCTGAAACATGGCGAGTATCTTGGGGAGAGGCTCCAGCAGCTACCCTGCAATTCTGGAGCCTCTCCCTCAAACCCCCTCCCCTCCAGAATATACCCTATGTTTTCACCATTGACTTCAATGGCCCATAGGATATAATGGGGCCGAACTGCAGGAAGCCCCAGCAGCCCTCAGGCCGGAGCACCTGGAGCAGTCTTGGGAGGCGGATTGGCAAAAAGCAAAACCAAATGCGCAGGAACTCGAGAGAACTCCAGGAATGGAGCCAGTTCCTCTTCCTCAGCCCAAGATGCAACCCACGAACCCTGAGCTTGCTTTTTCTCATTTGCGAGTCTGGCCTCCGCACTCCTTTAACGAGGCAGCCCTGAAGCTTGGGGCAGTGGGAGTTTCTTTGCACGCAGCTTGTGCGGCTGGCTGAGTGCCTTTCTGCT